TTCCATGATTCATTGTTTGTGCATAACACCCAGTGCTCCATGCAGAACGTGCCCTCTTTAATACCCATCACCAGGCTAACCCATCCTCCCACCCTCCATTGATTTTTCATAAACATGGCTTTAGGGAAGAATTTTGGTTTCTAGTCATTTGATTTTAATAAGATGTCTTCAACTGTGATATCCATTAGATGGTGGTGGTAAATCCACCGTAGGACCTTTCTGGGAAGGGGCTGCAGGGCAGTCTCAGCAGTGTTCAGGCTGAGAGCGGAATTAACTGCAGGAAGGTGAATGCCCAGATTCTTTAGTTCTGAGACTTGTGGTTCTTTTATTTATGGTGCCTAGAATTAGATGGCCACTTCTGCTTCTATCCCTTTTGTGCAGCAGATGTTCTTTGGAGTCCGACGAGTCACGAGGAATTTGCGATCTTTCAAACATTGGGGAGCCTCTGATAGAACTATAAGTTTCCATTTCTTGCCAGATGGCAGGAAATACCATCTGAATGAAGCATATACCGACTACCACATTGCTTATCCAGATGTGTTTCCTCTTCTTTCAAAGGGCAGGTTTTCCTTGATCTGTATAGAAACCAATATGTATATAAAGAGAAACAGGATTTTCACTGGTGGAGTCTTAGAGCCATCAACATTTCCTCTAAGCTGTTCGAGTAATTTTCAGTTCTCTTTAGTCCCCTAGATTAAAGAGCAAGTGTGTGGGAGGGTTGCAGCCTCCCATTCAGTATGAAGATGTTCATACCAACCCAGACCAGGACTGCTGCCTACTGCAGGTCACCACCCTCAATTTCATCTTTATTCCAATTGTCATGGGAATGATATTTACCCTGGTAAGTGGAAACAGAATGCCATCCTTAGTTCTTTCGTAGACTCTCATTATACCTAGGTTTTGAAAGAAATTTGTAAATTTAACCATTGAGGAAGAAATCTTTGAAGTATAATTTTTTTAAAAAGTTTGAAAGCAGACTTGTATATTAGGAATGGAGTTAATTATGTCTGGATATTTTATCTCTGTTTCCTTCTTATAGTAAAGGGAATGTTTTTGCATCTTCTTTGTAGTGATCATTAATATTTGAGAAACAGTATCCTTTCAGGGATAATAATGAGGCTTATATATGAGCACTGTATTTCAGGACCTTGAGGCTTGCTTGTGGTGTTGTAAATGAAATACTAAAATGTAGGGTGACCAGCTCTGTCCATTATATGATGATGACTATTCAAGCCTTAGCTAAGAATTAGATTAGTAAATAACAAATATGTCTCTGGCATATTTTCCAGGTTTTTAAAATTTTTAACTGGATTGATAACTTGAGAGTATATGCAGTTTATCTTCTCTGTCCTTTAGGCTTATGTTCAGAGATACATGGGGTTCCCCCCTCTGCACTGAAAATAGCTTTGTTCTTATTTATATATTTATTCATTCATTCATTCATTTGAGAGAGTGAGTGAGTGAGAGAGAGAAAACAAGAGCTGGGGTGGGGGGTGCAGAGGGAGAGGGAGAAGCAGAGTCCCCACTGAGCAGGGAGCCCCATGCAGGGCTCAGTTCTGGGACTCCAGGATCATGACCTGAGCTGAAGGCAGATCCTTAACTGACTGAGCCACCCAGGCGCCCAGCTTTATTCTTTTTTTAATGGTAAAATAAATAATGCATACTTCATGGAAAGAATTAAAATAATACATAAATACATGAAAAAAGTAAAGGTGACCTAGACTCTTACTGGCCTCTAACTATGGCCCTTTAGGGAACTGTTCTTTAATGTATCTGTTATTATGTACTTGTATACACCCACTCTCTTAAATAATTTTGTTTAATTGAGATTATACCATATATGCTGTTTTGGTTGTTAGGCACCTCTCCCCTCCCTCTAGGTTAAGTCACATTAGTGACCTAGTAATATATTCCATAGACTTCATATTCATATAATTCTGTTCAGACCAGCATATACATAAACAGATTTAGAGAATTTGTGGTTTATTTTACCAAAAATGTGATCAAACGTATGTTTCATGCATCTTGTTTGACTCGCTTAACAATATCTCATCAGAACCCCTTCAAGTCATTTTGTATAGTTCTAACCCAGTTTTTAAAAAATTGGCTTCAGTGCTAGTCTGTGTGTATGTATCCTAATTTATTCAGCCATTTGAGAGGCTTTCTTTAGCATGGTTTAAATATGAAGAATTTCATTTTGTGGCCTAGCCAGTGTAAATTTTGTCTAGACTGTCTTATTTCAGAATGAGCCGTGGGAAAACAAGGTTGTTTCATTTGGGTACTGAATTTGCTTTTCCCTCCTAGTTTACTATCAATGTGAGCACGGATATGCGGCATCATCGTGTGAGACTGGTGTTCCAAGATTCTCCTGTCCATGGTGGTCGGAAACTGCGCAGTGAACAGGGTGTGCAAGTCATCCTGGACCCAGTGCACAGCGTTCGACTCTTTGACTGGTGGCATCCTCAGTATCCGTTCTCCCTGAGAGCCTAGTTACTGCTTCCTGTCCCTGAGGGCAGCCCTGAGCTAGGCCAGTCCATTAGTAATCAGATTCCAGTTTGGAAGGGGTGTCTGGATTGTATATCTGGTTAGTAATGCACATGCTCTTCCGGTTCCCAGGGCTCCTGTTAGGGGAAGGAGAAGGATTGAATCAAGAGGAAAAACAACTATGATTTATAAACATATTTTAATGTAAAAATTTGCATTTGAAAGGAGAAACCTGGCCCTATTTTCTGTGTTAAACCCGATTTGGTGCTATTGAGTTTGTTGTTCTTTATTCTTTTATCCCAGCAAAAATGGATGATCTTGCTCTAGGGAAAAATTAAACTCATCCATCTCCAAACAAGGAAGTTTCAGCATTCCCTTGTGATCAGAGAGGAGCCTTCGAGGCCTGAAATTGTTGCTACTATTGCTTCCCGTTAAGCTGCCCCTCAAATTCAAGTGAATATTTTCTCTTCTCCCTTTACCCTTCTCCATAAATAAAGCAGGTGACAGGGTTTTCAGAATCTTACAAGATTGACTTGTGTATCTTTCTTTAAAAATACTTTTTGGATATTTATTGCGTAAATATTCTTTTGCCGATTTTGGATTTTAGGTATTTTTTTTTTTGCATGAGGTTTAATAGTGGTGGTGATGACTTTGTGCCCTTGGTACTGTACTAGGAACTTTACGTAATATCTCTAATTCTCATGATCCTGCAAGGTGGGTGATACTGTTTCCATTCTGTAGTTGAGAAAACTGCATCAGTGACTTACCCAAGGCCATATGGCCAGGTCTTTTTGCTGTATCACAGTTAAAAAAGTTCAGTTTCATTCCCTGTGGTAGATGGTGGCAAAAGGGAGTAGACAGAGTGTACATAGATAAGAAAGTAAAAGGGTGAGTAAAAATTTGATCGTGATATTACCTTATCCCTAATCAGCCTAAAGGGTATATAAGATTGATGAAAGAGTCTTTGAAATCTGTGTTTCTAAGTAAATTGTAAAGCTAACCAAGAAAGGCAGGAAGGATAAGAAGGATAATGATATTTTCATTGAGTTGTTAGAAAGGCATTATGCTGAAGGTCATTTAAAAAAAAAATGCATCCCATATTGAAACTAGCCTCCTGAACTATAAGCACTTAGTGACCTTCTTCTGCTCTGCCTGGCCCTGTGCTGCCTATCATCCTGTGTGCCTACAGGAGCCTGGCCTTTCATCCCTGCAGAAATGCTAATGTCCTGTTAGTCAGAGGACTTGCTGTAGCTGGTGGACTCTGAGAAGAGGATCACGGGTGGGATTTTGGTTTTATTGTGTTTGCTAACAAGGTAACCTTGCTACTTGTCCTCCCTTCTCAGCCCTCCAAGTTAGCCAGTGAGCTGGATGTTGCCATGAGATGGGCATTAATATATTCTTAAAACATGAAAATCTTGTGGGGGCAGTTATTATCACAAACCAAGCTGTTAAATTAGTGTGTGGTTTTTTTTTCCTTAATCATCCTCCCTAACCCCTGCTATTTAAAGAATATTCTTAGGAAGCAGCTGCTTAATACTGCTGCTCGTTACCCCGCACTGAGGGTGGTACTCAAAGCTGTTCACACGGAAAGTGAGCCTTGGTCAGTGAAAATCAATATTTGGACATGTAAATGGTAAGAAACAAAAGAACCCAAAGACAATAAGCACCCTGGACAATAAGTACCTTTCACAAGCAAAAGTTGCTTCTTTGAGGCAGAAGGAGAGAAGCACAGAGTTCTGGTTCCCTGGACTGAAGATGCCATGAAGTAGAAGGGAATTATTCTGGTGGATCGAAGTCCTCCCCCATTTGGGAGGTACCTTTAAAAGGGGAGTGAAATTAATTGGTTTAATAATTGTGTTCTGACTCAACTTCTAAGTTTTCATATTAAACTTTATGATGATAATAGGTACAATATTAGGTATTGTCTCAGCTGTTCTCTTAGCTTGATATTGACAGACACTTGGTAAAGTGTGTTATGGCTTCAGCCTTCCCTCTGCATTGACTGAGTTGCCTTTTCTAGGATGATTCGTTTTAGTGAAAGGATAAGCGAAGTGTCTCAGATTTCCTCTTGAAGAACCCCAAACCACCTGGAGAAGAGTTGGAACTTTCTGGACTACTTTTGTAAAAACTGCTTTGTAATTTTCACTTTTAAAAATACATCTCTTGATTTTGCTCTCAGAGTCAGACAAACAAAATAAGACAAATTTAGCTTCATTTCTCACCCTCATAATAAATCAGAATTACTCAGATTTTTCTGCCTTTTGCTGAAGATACAAGGAAACGAAGCCAATTGGTGAATATACTGGGAAGAAGAAAAAAAAATAAATGAAAAGTATGTTCCACTGATTTCAACTACATACAGCGTTTGTTGCAGAAGATACAGAACATGTTGTATGTATATTTATAAATATGTACACATTGCGTGTATATAAAAATTCTTTTACTGGGTATTGTAAGGGATTGAGTGGGCACTGTGATGACACTTCACAAACCAGATGGGAAAGATGCAATTAATAGCCACATGGGACAGGGTAAGGAGCAATTCAGGAAAATGGAGAGGTTTAACTAAAATTTGTCAGTCAGGAATTTGGCATTGAGACTGTCTTCATACTATGTATATGTAACAAACATTTCATATTCTAGTAACAGTGTTAGCACAGCTAAGGTCCTGAATTCAGGCGAGCAATTCACTCAAGCGCACACTACGAAATGTATCTGGATTTCAAGATTCTCCACTTAAGAAATAGATGCGACCAAAAGAAAAGTAATAAATGGGCACAAGAGGGCAGGTGTGAAAGGTGACAGACCATTGGCAACGATTACAAGGCCAGGACTGAGGCCAATTTAGGGACAGGTGGTTAGATGAGGAACAAGGGTGGAGGTCAAATGGACAGGATGTGTGCTGCGCCTCACTGGGAAGGAGAGAGGGCGCCGCTGAGCCCCGACACTTTAGTCCTCTTGGGTAAAATGGTTCTCTGCCACCTCAGGGACTCTCCAGGCCAAGCCAAGATGGCGCGCAGTAGCAAAGTGCCTCTTGTCATGTGCCGGGGCGGGGGCGTGGCCTGGAGGGAGCCGGCCAGGCCCCGCCCTTGGGGGTGGGGCCAGAGGCCTGCCGGGGAGGCCGGGGAGGCAGGGGCGGGGCTTTGAGGCGGGGCGCTTCGGCGCTGGCGGAGGCTGCAGCTACCTCGGCGCCCGCTCGGCTCCCTAGGACGTGTCGGGCTCCCCGGGTCGGGGGCGGCTCCCTTCCGCTTCGGGGCTGAGCTGCCTGGCTTTCGACGACTGCAGGCAGGTGAGCGTCCAGAATCTGGAGGTGGGAAAAGGATGCCTCTTTTCCCACCTCCAGCTCCCCTCCAGTTTGGGGAGGGGTCTCTGTCTAGCGCGCCTTGGAAAACAGCCCCGTTTTACTCCGGATGTGTCGTCTCCGGCTGGCATAGATACTGCTCCCTCCGCCGCCCCTCGCCGGCCTTTGCAGTGCCCTGTGCCCTTGGGGGTGAGAATGGGGGGCAATGCCCGGCTTGCGGGAGGGCGTGGAGTTCGCCCTCAGCTCCATCAGCCTCGGAGGAGGGGGGCTGAGGTGGCAAGTCTCCCGGTGCGAGCTGGATGGACTGCGCCCCATTTCCCATCCTGGAGAGTCAGAGAAAAAAGCACCTCTTAGCTCCTGGGCCAGCTCCGCTCATTTGGGCACAAGAGGTGCTGAGATCTTCGCGCTTATCGGGGGTCTTAATCCTTCCCGCGTTGCTACTAACACCCCTTCTTAATATCGCTAGCTCTCTGTTCCTTGAACTGCCAGTCTCAGTCTGTGCCAGAAATGCCCCCGTCTCCGCAGTGCCAGGGCGATGGGATGGAAGGAGCGGCCAACCCGAGGTCTGGTGGGGGTGGGGGTGAGAGTGGGCGCAAGCGGAAAAGAGAGCTGGAATAGATTCCTGAACTGAGAGGGTGGGAGTGGGGAGTTGACTTTGGACCGCGCAGTAGGGGTGTTTTCCGGTATAGATCCTGCAGGGTTCGATGGTGGGTTGGAAGAGAGAGGTCGGGTTGGAGGACTTGGAAATGTGGTGTGGGTGGTTTTCTTTGAGAAGGAGGACGGATCCAGGACAAGGTGCCACTAGGTGCTGATGTCACCTTTGAGGAGAGGTATGCTGGTAGTACCCAGTAGAGAGATATGGGAGTTGGGGCTGCTATTCTGCTGTTCCGTGTGGTGAGCAAGTGGTTAAGGAGGAGGCTCTGCTTAGCATGGAGATCCCCTCCTGGTGGGAGCTTAAGGGGCCCCTCCAGTAGCTAGGTTTCAGGGACTTCCCTCCGTCTTTCCAGAGGTGTTGGAACTGATACCTAGTACTTTGTTCAATACCCAGCAAACATTTATTGGGCACTTACTATATGCCAAGCTCTATGCTGTGTGCTGGGTCTTCTGAAGGCAATTTAGGGCCATGGAGCAGCTGAAAAGTACACACAGTAGGCACTCTCTTAACGGCCCCTGCCCCCCCATTTTGTTACATTGCTATTAAATTACAAAAAAGCAGAGCCCTGTCCACGTGCTTTCAAACAGCTGTCTAAACTGGATCCCAACCCATCCACCCCCTACCACTGTTAACTGGCCAGGTAGCCCCAAGAGAAGCTGCCTTAGCAAAAGGAACAGTTTGAAGGATTTCCCTGGGCTATTTTCTAGGACTTTGTCCTGATGCCTGAGAAGGCTGCCTGAGATAAATAGCATCTCAAAATAATGAGATGATGAATAGCACGATGATTATTGGGGGCCAAGAATGCCCTGGACACCCGGCACAGTGGGAGATGCCATCTCTGGAAGATAGGAGAGTGTGGGGGGAGGGGGTGTGAAGTGAAACCTTGTCCAGGGATATCTGGGTGTGTGCTGATGAGCATGTCATGATGTCAGAACTGTGGAGTATATGAGGTCTAGCCTTTGGGTGGTAAGGAGGGATTGGAGGGGCAGGGCAGGGCAGGCGACCAGGCTCCTGGGTCTCTTTTCTGAGTTGATTGCTAGAATCTTAGAGTTGGCAAGAGTCATCAGGGACTTCAGTGGGTCCTTTCAGAGCTTCTGAGGATAGCAGGGTGAGAGCTGGGGAGAGGAGGAGGAGTCAGGGTTGAAGGGCCAGGGAGCTGGGGGAGAGTCAGGAGTCTTTAGGATAGAGGCACTAGAGGAGGCCTTTTTATGTCAGGGACACTCTCCCCTGGGGCTCTGGGCCCTTGGATGGGTTGCTGTAGAAGCAAGGTGTGGCTTCCGATTGGCACGGAGTTGCATGTGGCATGCGTGTCCTGGAGAGGAACTGGTAAGGAGCAGGGAGGAGAGTGGAAGCTGGAGTGGAAGCTGCCTCAGAGTCTAGGTCCCAGGTATGGGATCAGGAGAAATGGAGGGGAGGTCAGGAGGAGGGGTGGTGTGTATTGCAGCCACATGAAGTCACCATCTGTCCCCCCTCTGGCCTGCTAGCTCACTGACCTATAATTAGCTCTGGAGGGCATACGGTGCTGGCTCACAAGAGCGTGGCACTTTGGGTGGCCAGTGGAGTAAAA